TTATGCCAGAACGTGAAGATTAAAAATGGCTCACAGATCTAGCCTTTTTGGTGGATTTGACAGCTCATTTAAATGAGTCAAACATGCATCTTCAGGGTGAAAATCACCTTTTCTGTGCTATGTTTCAGACAATACCAGCATTTGAAATGAAACTTGAACTATGGCAAGCTCAAATTATGGCAGACAGTTTCATGTATTTTGACACAGTGGCTAAACACAGTCCTGTGAACGGCGAAAAATATGCAGCCATGCTTTCCATTCTGATGAATAAATTTGAGGATAGGTTTCAAGACTACCAAAAAAATCATCATTTTATTGTATATTTGCAACTCCATTTTCATGCAACATAAACACACTACTTGCAAATTTTCACATGGAAATAGAGTACAGAGATACAATCAGACATCTAACTCAAAAAAATTTTGTCACATCTCTTCACCAGACTTTCACAATCCTTCTTTTACCAGAGAAAAACATCCCTCACTTCACAGTCACACCTTATTCATGTCGTCACTTTTCGGTAGTACATACATTTGTGAGCAATTATTGTCAAGGATAAAGCATATTTCATCAAAAGTCTCTGATAAAAACCTTCAGAACTCACCAAGAATGGCAACCAGTGCCATTGAAACAGCCTGATGGATTAATTTCAACAAAACAAGGTCAAACATCCCACTGATTTTATGTTTTTGTTTCTCTCTGTTTTTTATGTTTTAATAATAAAGAAATAAGCTTTGTTACTTAAACACATTACATTTATTACATACTTTATATGCGGTCCAATTCCTGCTCACTCACTGAGGCCCAGGTAAGCCAACAGTTTGGACAACCATGTTCTAGATAAAAGGAAATTGTGTTTCTAATCACTTGTCTGAAAAGCTAGGCATATTGAGGGCAGGTGTCAATCTACTGCACTTTTAACATTCCCATCTGAAAAGAGAAACCACCAAAGGCAAATGCTGTCTGTACAACAAGCAATTTGCTTGACGAAAAAACCAACACTTGGCATTGATCTATTGATCAAACTAGTTTGGCTGCAAAGTAATTTATATAATCCATGGATGACAACACTTACAAAGAGACTGACTAATTGAATGAGTTCTTACAAGTTACAGTTCCTCAGTTCTCCAAATATAAACTTATTTGGGCATGTATGTACACGCAGGTGAGTTAGCACAGGCTTTCTTTATAGTGCAATATGCTTTCACACAAAAATAAGCAGCAAAGGCTGGAGGTGGGCTTGAGCACATCAGGACAGCATGAGGTTTGAACTTGCTTATATGGACAGATTACAGCTTGGCTGTAATCACGTGCTAAAACCACGTCCAGCTCGCAGCCCAGCCCACCCTACGGCCACCCTCAGCAACAGTCAAACCAGTGGAGCAAAACAATCCCTCTTTTCTCAGTGAAGCCCAAGCAAGCAAAAAAGTTTTACAGTTATAAGGTAATGAAACTGTTCTTCATTTCCACCTTATCAGCACTTCTTATTTTACCTGAACACAGTGCCAGCCAAACCTGAACAGACCTTAACATAAGCAGATGAGTATTAATCTCACATGGCCACAGCAAAACCTCTCTGTTTATAACTTTGATCACACACTAGTTTATAATGCCTTTCACGGCCTTCAACAATAGATGTTGAATATTCTGAGGTGACAGATATGGCCTATTCTGGACAGTGGACAGCCTCATACCAATGCTTCTTCTGCTCACTCTCTCCTCTTTTGAAAGCTAATTTTGCATGAAGCCTTGCATTAGGTTTTGCACTAAGCAGCCTCCTTTGTGCATCTGGCCTTTTTTCCTGACCATATCATTTATTAAAAAAACAGTATATTTTAAAGAGGACTAGTACAGAAATCTTTCATGGGATAACTATTTTAATGATGGTTTAGAGACAAGAACATAAAATGAAAAAACACAGACATCAGCATTTTGAAGGCCTTACGGAGTACCAGGTTTGCTGGCTTCAGCTTTCCTTTGGCAAAGCTGAGGGATCTGCTTGGAGAAATTCCCCTTCCACCTCCACAGTGGGATTTTTGTTTTATGTAATACTTCTAAACAAACAAACCAAAAAATACCCATGCATTATGAATCAAGGTATAAACACAGTCTTGCTCAGCCAGGATTTCCTCAGAAAACAGCCCTCAAAACCTCTCTCAATATATGTTTCACATATTCCATATGGTCTGGCCCAAGCAGCAGGCTCACTGATGCTGGAATGAGCATCACACACATAAGGAACAGAGCATTGTCTGGTTTCCCATTCTATAACTTCAGTGTTTTAACTGGATCATACTGGACCGGCAGGACTGTTTTGGTTTCAGCTGGGACATATTCAAAGTGAGTTAGCTGTGGGCAAAATTACTGATGGGAAAAATCTTGTCTAGCTACCACAGTACTGAAAAGCCAGCTGTGCTTGCACTGCAAAACTAACTGAAAACCAACTATGTAACAACAAACATAAAGGGGCACCGTGCATCTTGCAAAGGAACGTTCACTTTCTCATGCAGTGCTAAAAGCTTCACTAAACCAACTTGTCCATATAGAAAAGAAGATTTTAACAGGAAAAAGTATCCCAGAAGGCTAAGTTCTAACTGCTCTTTGGACACTCAGAACTTGGGCCCCTGAACTGCAAAACAAGCCAAAAACAAATAGAAAAGTAACTTGTATAGGTAGGTAATAGGTGTATATACAAGCATGCATGTGTTCATATGGCTCCTATTAAACTGCCCCCTCCTTTCCCATCTGTCAAACCTACACTGCCTGTCTTCTAAAGCAGTAGCCTGGAAACTTGTAGACACGCTTATCTTTAATTACAAGATGAGTTCCCCAAGTGCTGATGGGAATATTCACATAGAAGGGAAGGAGGTTAAAGTGCAGACTTGTTACAGGCTCAGACTATTTTCCAGGCTGTGCGTGTGAAATAACTGAGCAGGAAGGATTAGAGAACTGGATGGGGTCCCAGCCTTCTTACAAGCAGGACAACAACTGTAAACATTTAAAAGATCAGATCTGGGCGTAAATCCTCCATCACACCATTACAGACTGGGATAAATCCTCTGCTACAGTAACACGCTTTGTGGCGTCACATGGAACCTGACAAATGTGTGAGGCAAAAAGGGTTGGAGGTGTGATCCTGCTGAGTGCGACTGGTCCCTTTCCTTGCACTTAAAGCTTTCCTCTAACATTCCCAAAGCAACCTTGGGATCTGGGGACAAGGACAGGAAACGTTTTTCTCATCCTCAGGGAATTTTTGCAGAGCTGTCAATGACTGACTGACTGTTTCAGACAGGAAAAACAAAATGCAAAAGGCATGCTCGAGCTGAGCTTCAAATCACACTGCAGATTTGAGGGATTTTCCTTTGTGTTTCATGAGCCCATTTTTCAGCAGTCTCCTAATTTTGCAGAATTCATGCAAAAATACAGAAATAACTTATATACCTAAGTGAAAGGCACTTCAATGTGAAAATAAGGAGTCATTTATGTAAAACTGACTGCAAAAGGCTAGTCTTGACAATGCTGAAAGCAAAATCAAAGTTAATGGAAAAAACACAGTTTTTAGTTTTGCGTTTCTGTGGTTTGGAAATTGCTTGGGTTCTTTTTTTTTTCTTTTTAGTTAGACATTTCAATCTTGCAAAAAATTTCCGACTGTACTTGAACCCATACTCCATCTATCAGAAATGATTTAAGCCTTTATGAGCCTGCTTTTAAAAATGAATCTCTGAGCCACCTAACACACAAATTATACCCTGCAAGGTAACAAATGTGCTCGTCTCTCCCAGACATCAGCAGAAAAAGCGTGCAGTGCTTTCACATGATGCTTTGAGAGTTTGGTCTGTGCCATATGTCTGAAGCATACAGGACCTGAGGGTGCTGCACAATTTCAGATATGGGAATTAGCACTTTGCCCCTTTGGGCCATCTGTACAATATATTATTTATGAAAGAAACCCCAACTCATTCAAAGCATGCAGTGCATGTTCTGGCAGCTGAACTGCAGTTACTGACTGGGGGAAAAAATGTGAAGATAACGGGTCTGTGAGCAATCATGGTGCTAAAGGATATTTTAATGAAAGGGGATAGAAAAAGGCATTTTTGTTGCAAATGCATACCAGGAATGGAGCGGTTCACAATCCCACCACTGAGTGTTTCTCTCAGAGCTTTTCTAACGTCAAGCATGTTTGTATATTTTTCCCTCAGTTGGAATAACAGCTTCATCCAATGCAGTGGGCTAAACAGGGGAGAGTAGTCTCCACTGGCAAACAGCTGGCAGCCGCAGAAGAATCCCTGCCTGGCCCCATAAATGCCCTGCTTGTATAACTAGTTGTGGCCAGATGCACACACAAACACTGCAGTCACCGCTGAACCTCAGTGTGCCCGTCACTTTCCGTGCTCCTGGTTCTGTTCCCAGACACGTGCCCTGCCTGCTTGCTCCACTTTTATCCTCGGCTCTCCCCTGGGTCCCAAACGGCAGCAGCCTCGTTCCCTCCCCTTGCCATTCCCCTTGCGCCTCTCAACACAGTGGCTGCAGCTCGCCTTTTGACTCCCTTCACTGCACTCTGAATCCTCCACATCCCTCCCCGTGCCCTGAGCTTCTGACCAGAGAGATGCCTTCTCCTTGAGGCGCTGCCGGCATCCCCCACCAAAACCCACCGGGTGCAGAAGAGCGGGGATGCCGAGTCCCAGCCTCCCAGAGGACTCCTGATCCCGACATTGCCATAGCAACTGCTCACACTGCTCCCTCGATAAGTAGCAGTGCTCGCGGAACCCAGCTCGGGACGTTGGAAGTCCAGACAACCCAACGCTGAATCGCAATCTATCTGCCACCGCTCCGTGAGTACTGCAGCCTCCCTCCTGTCTCTGTCACCTCTTGCTTTGCACTGTTCCTTTTTTTCTTCTCTCTCCTCCAGCAAGGCAAATCTCATGTCACCCATCCCCATCCCATGGAAAGCCGGCTGGGGATGCTCCCATACGGGGTGATGCCATATTGGGGTTGAAACGTAGGGGATGGATTCTTGGGAAGGGAAAACATGAGAGAAAACAGCTTCAATTAACTTCTATACTGGGGTGGACACTTTGCAAGGAGCTGGTACTGTGACTCCCTATGCCACTGTAAAGCATTGGCACATGTGAGGGCTGGTTTGCACCATGAGGAAATAATTAAGGAAGGTTTTTCATTATTTACTTTCTCAAAAGAGAAAAACTTTGCAGCAAGAACTTATGCAAAAGTAGCTTGTATGTTTTTCAAAGTTTAACAGTTGGGATTGGTTTTCTACAAGCTTATGGGAGGCAGTGGGAGTCAATCTTCAGGTTGATTTTGAACTAGCCCCTAGAAGTGCACAAAAACCAGCTTCCAGACAGTATAAGGGATCTCTGCATTCGTGCAATTATTAATAGTAAAGGTTTCAGTAGAGGGATACTCCAGCATCAGGCTTTCAAACAACAAATTTTTCCTAAGAAGTTTTAAGCATGTTTCAGAAAACAAACATCAAACTAATCTAACAAGAACGTCTGGAGAGAGCAGCCTAGCACTCAAATAACTGAAGGAGAAGTAGCATGAAGCTGTTCTCCGTGCCCAGGAAGACATCGCCTCAATAGGGTAATGTTAAAAATATAGCAAAACTTGTAACAGAAAGTTTGGAGCTCGAGGCAAGAACACCCAGACTTTCTATTTTTAGGGCATCTATTTTCTTTTCCAACAGCAGTAAATGAGTTGCCTTGTCTTGTTTACAAGATGTGCCTGGGAAGTAGTTGTAGAGGACCAGAGAATGGGTGCAGATAGAGAAGCCTGCAGAGAAGCCAAGGCTTTCTGCTGAGCACCAGCTGGAGGAGCCCAACACACACAGGCACAGCGCTGTTCCCTGTGCCCCTTGAGCTGCTTCAGATGAGCTCTGTGACTGGAAGGTGGGTGCAAGATGCCTAGACCCAGATAAGGGTATCTCAGTCTCCCTTTACATACTTGTCAGTGATAAGGTGCCTACTGTAGGAGCCTGCAGAGTACATGCAACAGAAGCACAGACAAGTCTTTTTTTTCCCTCCTACTTAGGTTTACTGAAAGAAAAGAACTGGCGAGGGTGTTGGGAGCTTGACCATGCCTCCTTGCTCATGGGTCCGCTGAAACCAGACTGAGAAGGGCAAAGGGATGAAAAAAAAAGATTCAAAACCTGTCTGGAGAGCATAAGGGTGTGCAGGAAGGGAAGAGATACTCTGGACTCAGAGGGAAACTCCAATGCCTGAGCAGCTGTTTGGGCAGTGTAGCAAAGAACAGATCTCAGAGCATTAATTGCTGCAGTCCAGCTTCTGGCTCGTACCTCACACTGTGAAATAGTCCCACTTGTTCCCATTTCCAACTGTTGGGTGCTAGCAAGGCCAGGCCCATGCAGGGTTGCAGACAAGCATGCATGCTTGCCATCTCACCCCAGGGCCCCCACTGTCTACACTTTTGCTGCTGAGCAGCTTCTTCTAGTAGCACTCTGGCCTCTGAAGCCAAGGCAAGGGGCTAATTCACCCCAGGCAGCCCAGGAACTCTGTTCTGGCTTTTCACTTCTCTCACAACAAATGCCATTCAAAGAAAAACGAGGAGTGAACCACTACTTCCCTCACCCTTCTGACAGGAGTACACAGCCTCACATTTTGGCTCACATTTGGCATACAGGTCTGGCTGCCCCGAGAGCTGTACCATGTTGCTCATGGCAGAAATGTGCTCTGGGTCCAGGAAGAGATAGGTACCTCGTGTCATACAGGCTTAGGAACATTATCATCCACATATCAAAACAAATACCAATTAAATTCAGATTAGATTGCCAACTGCCAACTAACAAAAGAATGCCCTTAAGAGTACTTTCATTTAGGTAGTATCCAAGTCAACATGACAAGGGTGTCTTTAATGATGAGGCGTGGCCTGCAAACTAGTGCATGCTTTTTCTTGGAGGTTTTTGCCAGTTGTGGAAACAAAACACTCTTCTGACCAAATAATAAATGAATATTAAAAATCTGCATACTTACAGACAGCAGTAGATGGTCTACTGAAGTCCTCAGAAGCAGAGTTTGTGGAGACTTTACAAAGGGCCAGTTCACAAATTCTAAGGAAAATAATAAAAGGTAATTACTTGTATGCACAGCAAGTGATGTCCCGATGGTGAAGAGTCCTGATATCTATGGCCAGTCAGCCCCTGTAAACTTAGGTAAGAACTGCAGGTCAGAAAATTCTCTATTTTATGGGTGATTACAGTCATCTACTGATGATTTCTTTGAGAACAGTATTGTACCTTGAGTTTAGATCCAAATCAACATGTTTGTAATTTCCATGCAGCCTGGCATGCACTTCAGATAACTAGGAGCAGGCAAGCAATGCAGAACAACTTTAGTCTAAGCAAAGCCACTTCTGTACCAAGGTCAGGATCAAATGAGAAAAGTCCAGCTCTTCAGATTTATTCTCACAGCTTTTGTTTACTGTCTTACAAGGGAGACTTTTCTCATGAGATTTCATTTCAAGGTGGCTTGAATGTCACGTGATCAAAGGACCTCAAGAGATTTAAATTGTTTTGGTAGAACTCTGTTAGTCTATCTTTGCTGAGTTCTCATTAAGCTCCAGCCTGATCACTTGAGATAAGTTGTTCATACATCAAACCAACTAAACACCAAAATAGTAAAAAAAAAAAAACAACAACCCTGGTCTCTTTGTCCATCTCTAGGCAAAATATTTATATTTAATGGAATCCTAGAATTAAATGCATTGGTGGACTGTTTGATGAAGCCCCATAATTTAGGGAAAGAAAGGAATCCTATAATTTGCATGTATGTGTGTGTACGTATGCTTTAAAACTATGCTAGTGAGTAATAGGAGCTCCTTTGTGTAGCCATACCAGGCACTTGACAAAGACTTCTGAAACAGTATATTAATTAATAAATTCAGAGTGTTTGCTGTAAGCTACTTAATAACAAAGGTACAATTTAGGAAGAGAAAATTTCAGACACTTTCCATGTGAATCTTCATCACTTACAAGAGTGCATGTTGGAGTCCTGTTATATGACAGTGACCAGCAAGACAAATAATCCACACAAAGCTGAAACAGCTTTCAGTCATATCAACACTTTTCAGCTCGCCTTGTTATTCCTTGCTCTTTTCTGTCTGTAAGTTGAGCCTACTCTGTTTATTGCCAAATGCTTTTACAAGGAAAAAAGTTACACAGGAAAAACACAGCACTCTTTCTCAGCCTTTTCAGAAGCATTTAAGGCATCTCTGCTCTGTCGTTTCCCAAAAGTAAGAGGCTAGAGGTGACTCCTTTGAGAGCACAATGCTCTGCAGGGTGGTGTTATAGCCTGGCTGTGCTGTACAGAAGGTAGTCTCAGGCTAAGTGACTATTGAATTCTAACTCATATGGAAAAATCTATATCCATTTTAGACAGTGTCTCCTGCTGAGTGTGATTTAGAGCTTCACTGCAAGCATTAAAGCTGCACCAAGGATGAATGTGGCTCATTATGTTGAGACATACAACCGAGTGCAAGAAAAAAAATCACAGTGCTCCATGCAAATGGCAGGCATTACCTACAAAGGTGACTGACTGCAGCAGACTGTTAGCATGAAGGCTGGTAGGAAAGGAGTTGCACTTAACACACTAAGATCTGAGAATGTGCTCCCATTTGTAAAGGCATACTAATGACTTCATGCAGTCACTGTAGAAGCCTTCCTTCCACATGAAACATTACAGGGGAATCTGTTTCTTCAGTGTCTGGAATTGATTTTAGTGGTTTGGGAAAGCACCATTACAATCCTCACATAGATCACCTCCTTTTTTTGAATGAAAGGCCTTTGTGTAATGCACAGCAGCAGGAAATGGCATCACTCAACAATTCACACATTGTATGCAACATATACAGATGCAAGACACCAATTCTCACCATGCATTCTGGTCCTTCCTTTTGTGTTCTTTTTTAACAATGCGCAGTGTGGAAGCATATTTGTGAGCAAGGCAAAGTTTTCTGTGGGGCAAACTTCAAAACAAAAGGGGTCAAAAGTTAGCCTGAAAGGCATGTTTTAAAGCACTACAGTTGCTGTAGGCTTGTCATCTGTGACAATACAAAGACAGATCTAAAAGATTTATTTTAAAACATTATTTTTCTAACTATTAAATTAAGAAAAAATTAACAAGGAAGTCTTATACTTACATATAACAATCCCAGACGAAGTCTCTTTACAAACTTGATTTTCCTGAGGTGAAACAATCAAACAACTTAGAGAAATCAAATCAAAGTTAATTAGATTTTATAAGGTATGGCTAGCCAGTGTAAGTTATTACTAATCTTACAAGTAGATTTTACTATGTATCTCCACATTTTTTCACCCAAGACCTTGTTATAAAAAGTCCACAATCTGAAATGTTATCTTTAATTTTACTGAAAACTTTCTAAATAGGACAACCTTCTGGAAAGAACATTACCAGCACAGTCGTAATATTTAGCTAACAGCCAGCATAACTTAATCAAATCCCATAACATCAAATGGCACTGAAGAAATAAACAGTTTCTCCATCAAATCACAAAGTGCAGTGTGACCTTTCCTATGGCCAGATAATACGTGTTTATGTTTTAAATGAAACGTTGTCTGTTATGTCTTAAGCCTCAGCTACAGATTATTTTTACAGTCAACAAATAGAGCAACCATACCATGCTAAGATGCATTCAAAGATTTCTTTATGAAGTGTCTTCCTAAGTGAAAGCTGTTATTTATTTTTGTTAAAGGCCAACAAAGTTTCCAGGTGGTACAACCCCACAGTACAGACCTGATGCAGGACTGGATCAGATCTTCTGTGGTCAAACCCCTCGTCCAGGCTTTATTCAGTGGGGTATTTACGAATGCATCGAATTTTACAAATTTCTGTGAATTTTAAACACTGATGGGTATGGTAGTTAATTCCCTAAGTACATTATGAGTCAATGCTGCTGACATTTATTACTGTAATTTAATATTGCTGCATTTACTTTGAAGTCACTGCAGTTTAGGACATGTTTTTCCATCCCCTGAAGGACTAGCTCATTGCATGGTATGATTGCGACCTTCCATATTTTGTTTGGCAAATATTTATGTTACTAGATTTTGCTTGAGGTTTAATTGTTCTTAATATAGATGCAAGTTTTAGTCATAGAAATGAGGTTAACTGACCTAATGTTCATTTCTTGGTAACAAACAGCTGCAATTTTCAGAGTATTATAGGTAATTTCTTGGCCTGCAGCAAGATCAAAATATACTCACACAGTACAGTCTCCTGTTCTCTCATCCTGTCCTCCTCCTTCCTGCTTTTCTTGATTGCATTTTCTTTCACCTTTCGCTGTTATTTATCTTTTCTTCTTCACCTCCATCTACTTTCCTCCATTTTTTCCCACTTCTACTGTTGACGCAGTCTCCTGCTGATTCTCTGCCTTCACCGTTTTCCTGTTCCCTACAAGGAAGCCAGTGTGCTCTTATTCCCCCAAAACAGAGAACAGAGGTTGTGATCAGGAAACTACCACATCTGGTAACTTCAAAGCATCAAAGCTTCAAACCTTTGGGGAATGCTGGGGATTCTCAGGTAGGAAGTTGGACACCAGGGCCTTCTACACTTATGCATAAGAGGGGATAAAAAGCCTTGAAGAACAAAATAGCAATCCAAAGAGTTCTATAGACCACGGGCACTTAAGCAACCTTATGACATGGGTCCCAGTGCTCCTACCAAGGCCACGCGGATGCATTCCTCATGCTGGCTCCACAGCCTGTGGACACTGGCCGTCTTCCAGAGTCAGCTCCCACATCTGGGTCTTTGGGGGTATCTATAACTGGAATTATAAGAATTATCTCTTCATCATTCATAATTTAAGTTAGATTGCATAGTAAACACCAATTATGACAATTAGTTTACAATTGAGAACATGACGTAGAACAAAATCAGAAAATATCCTATTTCCTAGCACTTATTTCCTGTATGTGATAGCACTTTCTGGATGATTAAGGTCAATATTCTTCTGCAGAGCCAACATATTTTCTGTGCTTCTGTGGGTCGCATAAGCAGTGTAGGTGGAAAAATGGGATATCACACATGTAACAAAGACTGTGAACATAAGCATCTCTTAGCACGCTTGGGCAAAATCAGGTCAGCAGACTGTATGACAGAAAGCAGCTGGAAGACAAGAGCTTCCCTCAGTCTGGCTTGCAAGTGGATACATAACACCAACATGTCTGTTTTATGTCATGCTGCTGCTTTTCTTTCTCCCTTTTTTTTTTTTTTTTTGGTGCTGTAGTTTCAAGGGGGAGAAAAAACCCATTTCAATGATGTCAACAGAATGTGTTCAGCCACTTGATATCCCAGAAGACAGACTGGACAAGCGAGATTCACACTGCAACCATTTAGGTAAGTGTTATTAGATGATGTCACTGCAGAAATTGGAGAGGTGTTTCTACACATCATTAGGCCCTGTCCAGTTGCTGTTTTTCCCCTCCAGCAGTACAACCGAGCCCTCGTGAAACCCGATAGATTACACCTTCTGCTGACATTTCTGATGCCAGATGGAAAGGCAAAGCGTGGTTTTCTTTCTTGCATATACATATTAGCTGAAGCTCTAGAACAAAGTTAATTAATGAGGAAAAATGAAAAAGCCATTATTCTTTTCTGTGGTAGAAAAAAAACTGAGCACTTTCTTCATTTGTACAACAATAAACTGAAGCCATATAACTGGATCTTTCCTGAATAGGCATTCTACATGCTATTTAAGTAACAGATTCTAAATACCTGCCTTTTTCTCTAACGGAGTGGGCTAAGTACTTTTTTCTTCTTCATTTTCAATTGTTTCCTCTCTGAACCTATTTCGTACGTTAACTTTTGCACTGACAGTACCAGAGATTTTTTTGCTCCACCATACACCTATGTACCAGACTTCACACTTGATAGATGTGCATTTTGTATATTCATGATCTTTGCCTCAGTTTCAAGTGCTATTGCTTCACTGTAGCCTGGCAAAATCATAAAGATTCAGAAGCCCAGAAACCAAAAAACATTTGCTCACTTTTTAGCTTTGCAATAACAATAAGAAAACAATACAATTTCAGGTGTTTGACCAAAAAAAAGTGTTAGGCCAGCAAATTTTATAAACTTTCTTGTTCTGCCCTGCATAGAAGGTATCCTTGTCCTGTCTCTCTGCCACAACACTTCTAGCCAAAGGCACCACTTCTGCAATTGCTGGCGTACTCAACACAATTGCTCCACAACATTTTTCATTTAAGTAAATACAGAACTAGTTCCTGTCTACAGATGGGAAACAGAGGCAGGAGGAGGTTAAATGAGTTCATTAATACCATTCAGGAAGCCTTAGAGGGCTGAAAAAAATGGTCTGTGTCTTCCAGGATGGTTAATCAGGAGATTGTCCACAGGGCTGGGAGACTGCTGAAGCCAAGCAAGAAACATCTGAGAAATCAAAGCTTTGGTTTGCATGACGATGCTAATGACAGGCTAGACTTAACTTTTTCAGCTTGCAGGAGCAACCAGGAATGCAGATCCTTACAGAAAAATCACGCCCACCAACTGAGTCACATAAGTCAAGCCTCATTTTAAGAGAAAACCAAAAATCAGTGTAATGTTATGTAAATCAAAAAAGTGAATACCGACAGCCCCGTGGCTCCGGAAACAAAGCCAGCTCCCGAAGGGAACAATATGCCGGCTTTGTTCGCTAGTACCTCCGACTGACCTCACACAGGTAAAGCTCTCCCTCACAAAATCGCCCTCGTCACTGTGGAAGAAACAGCCCCACACTGCGGGCTGAGCGGGAAAACGACGGTGCTGCTTTCCTCAGCCACGCAGCGCGCCGCGGCCCACAGCTTCACCCCCGCTTTATGCCGGCCACCTACAAAGTAGAAGGCCCGCCAGGCACTCAGTGGTCCGTACACGTAGTACGGCACAGAGGCCTCTTGTCTGACTTCCTATTTAGGATTTCTTTCTCCACAGTCACTTCAGTCTTCTTGGATGAAAGCCGTATTATTCAAGCTTTTCTTTTCAACATCTGTTTTATTATTTCCCCTCTGCTTCACTCTCTCTTTTCTTTTTTTCTGTTTCTGCAGAAGATCTTTCAGAACAGCTGATTAAGAGCTGTGATCTCAAGAAGAAACCAAGAAAAGGTAAAACTATCCAGCCTTCCCAAAACACTGAACAGGAGCAAAAAAAGCCAAGGAGAAAAGACACACCAGCTATACACACCCCACCACCCCTAACAGGTAAGCAGTACATCTCTTTGAAATCTCACTATGCAAGAGTGGACTGAAGCTGGGCAAAGCTCCACAGACATACTTACATCGCTGTGGAAGCAGACGGCAACACAGCTTCGCGCCACGTGCTCCCAGTAAGGCAGTGAAAGGGGGAGGATCCAGTTTGTGCCCTGAAGCTCCTCCTGCCCAGGGAGGACCTGTGGGAGGAAGCTGGAGAGGCACGCGGCCTGCTCTTCCTGGAAAGCACGGAGTGCCTGTGCGTGCAGGGATTCTGGTAAAGGCTCGGTGTTTAGAAAAGCCAGAAACCACCGCAGTGTCAAAGGAACTCCTTGTGTGATGCCCTGTGCTGCTGTACATTGACATACCTCTGCAGGTCAAGAGCTGAATGCCACCAGCCTGGGGAAGGGAAGAGTGTGGAGCAGAGTGGCCCTGAAACCAGGTGGTTTTTCAAGATCAGCACGGGGAATGAATGATTATCTCATTCCTCTGCTAACAAACACTCCTTGTATGCTCCCTGGGGACTGAGTTATGCTCTTGTATCAAGTGCACTGACTTCTTCTCATGCTACATACATAGGAGTTAACCACTAACCATCTGTGTGGTCTCCTGTGTGCCTCCAACAGTTCACGCTTATGGAGTGAAAAGCAAGCATTGGGGTGTCTCAGTATTTGTAACTCCTTGCCCCTGGCTCTTCAGCTTTCACATGTATCTGCCTTTCAGTAATTCTCTTATGAAATGGCTCAGATCTGGAAAGCTGCATTTTGTACCCCAAGTAGTCACTGTATGAAGAATTATAGCATTTCACTAGCTTAAATAGGCAATTTCTGAGTAGCCATATAGCCCATGAGAAGAAGATTAAACATCCATACGATTAAACCGCTTCGATAATACATCTGAGTTTCTGGAAATAGAAGATCCCACTCATCTTCACCATGATTATTGATGGGCTACAGTTTGGCCCATGGCATAGAGCCAGAAACCAGCTAGCCTCAGACCACTGCTGTATATACTCTATAGGATGTAATTGACTTGAGGGAAATGTGCACTGTTGCAAAGCCAGAAAATGTACACGATGCTGAGCAGATTATGCACTCATTGGGAAAGTGCATAGTAGTATTAGTAGTCATTGGGAAAGCCATACAGGTGCAGATTTCTTCAGTGTAAACAAATCTGAAGTGACATTTTCTTTAATTCTTGCCTGCAGGCATACTTTCAGACTTTTCTGATAATCTGCTGAAAAGGTATGGTATCTCAGAGAAGCCACAGAGAGAGAGAGTGAGTCAGGGCTCTCAGATCACCGAACTGGAGCAGAAAAAGCCCAGGAGAAAAGATACACCTGCAATACACATCCCACCTTTGATAATAGGTAAGAAACTTAGCTGAAGTTGCTTCTAGGCTGGATGGAAGTTGTTCTGCCCAGTGTATTCAGCAGTGTTTGCTGAACTGGACCTATATGGTCAAAATATCCAATATTTTGTGTGGTGGTTCATTGAAAGACTTTTCTGTACCCACTACTCATGCTAGATAGACCTGAAGGGGGAGTGAGAGGAGACCTGATATCACTTGAGTATCTCATGTAAAGGCTATCTTGTTTTTTGTGAAAATCCAACCACTGTCCTCCTTTTCAAAGTAGAGCACACACAAATTTTAAGGTCATGTTACTCACATTGCCTCAGATATCCTGGAGCAAAGCTGTTCTGATGAACTCCCTGTTAATTTGAATCTACACTGAGGAAACCAAGCTGTGAACATGTAGTTAACTGCACCTTAAAGACAGTTCTGTGCTTCTGGCACAATACGCAGTGCAGCAGCTAATTTGTTCAATGAGCATATGGATTCAGCCATCCATGTTTTGGCCCGAAGACCCTTTGTTTGTTGAGTTTCCCATGTTTTTCTATCACAGAGAAGCCTCAGTGCATCAATGTTTCTGAAGGTCTCTCAATATGTAAAGCACTTTGGAAGCGTTAATTACTGCTACTAACCATGGGTGCAAGAAACATGCACGTTTGTATGCTATGCACCAGCTGTTTCTTAACCACAGGATGGAGCAAAAGAATGAATGAATGAACAAATGAAGAAAAAAAGCAAACAAACTAGCCTCAGTTTCAAAACAAGTGCTAAAACTTGAAAACTTTGGTTCCCTCAGGAAACTCTTGTATGAAACAAGGTCTGCTGTGGGTTGGCACTACTGCAACAGTGAGATATACTAGCTAGCTGAAGAGATCCTGAGACAGCTATTTTGGCCCCGAGTGACTAAGCAACAGCTGAGTACATCAAGCACCTGAGTTTTAGGTACTCATGGAATTTTCTGCACAGATAAAAAATACAAGGTGTGTAAATGGCTTCAACAGTCACAATAAGTGCTTTCGTTTGTAGACATCTGCTTTCCTTGTAAATCTAGAATCACAGAATCATAGCATCATAGAATCATGAAATGGCCTGGGTTGAAAAGGACCACAATGCTCATCCAGTTCCAACCCCCTGCTATGTTCAGGGTCGCCAACCAGCAGCCCAGGCTGCCCAGACCCACATCCAGCCTGGCCTTGAATGCCTGCAGGGATGGGGCATCCACAGCCTCCTTGGGCAACCTGTGCCAGTGCCTCACCACCCTCTGGCTGAAAAACTTCCTCCTCATATCCAACCTAAACCTCCCCTGTCTCAGTAAAACCATTCCCCTTGTTCTATCACCATCTACCCTCATAAACAGCCGTTCCCCCTCCTGTTTATCTGCTCCCTTCCCAAGTACTGGAAGGCCACAAGTTTCCCCAAGGTCTTCCTTGAGTCTTCTCTTTTCTAAGTTAAACCAGTCCAGTTCCCTCAACCCTTCTTCATAGGAGAGATCTGATCCTTTACGACTGATTCAAGCACGCAATATTTTTTTTTTCCATTTAACCATCTTACATTAATCATTATGGGGCTCCTTAGAACAAAGGAGTATGACTCAGTTTGCAGGATCACGATCAGCAGCAAGCATGGCAAATACTAGCTCCTGGCTCATTGAACTCAAGCACTTGAGTGGCTTGCATCATTAAAGCAGCATGCTGCAAGTGAGTCAATGGTCCAATCATTTACTGGGGGAAGTTGCAAAAAATCTGTCGTAAAACTTCTGAGCCCAACTGCAAATGCTCCACTTTGACATATTTAATATAGAGCACTGATAATTAGCTACTTATATAATCGCTCAAAGAAATTACCAAGCAAATTACCTGAAATTTCACGGGACAAATAATTAGGAAAAAAAATCAGTCTTTAAGAGAGCAATTCAGAAACAGAACTGGAGGCGAAGTTTATCAAATAATTTGTAATAAATGTCTCACGCTTTATACAGGAGGCCTGCTCTTTCTGTGGACTTTGGAAGAGTGTTGAGAGATTATTTTGGTCAGTTCAAAACAAATCGCCTTCAGCCATTTTAGCACCTTCCAAAATGCTGTGTGTCCTCTGGACTTCAGGATCTATGCAGTGGAGAATCTAAAAGTGAAAAATGTTTGATAGAAACAAAAAGTGAAATGTTTTTACTGGGATAATGCTGAAATGATTGATTCTTGTTTTGGTTTGAAAGTAATTGCTAGCTAAGGGGATGCAGCAAGGATAAATTGCTTCCTTGACACATCTCAACAATACTAAGGTTAGCATCTAGTCACTTATTATTTCTTATTTGTAGCCTAACAGTAATTAACTCAAGTAGGCATTTAAGGGAGAAATAAGAATCATTTTAATCATCTTCCCCTCTTGCCTCCTATGAAGACTTCCTCTTTAAAAATTTTTATAGAAAGAGAAGTCAATACATTTTCGTTGCCAAAATGCAAAAGGGAAGAACACAATAAAAAGAGGAAAAATGCAGTAGCTTTCAAAAAGTGTGGCAAATTTCAAAGTGTGTTCGTTTGCCACAGGGGAATGACAAAAAATAATTCATTTTTTAAGGTTTTCAATGACACTTCCAATTTCACCTCCTTGTCTACTGGTGAATACACTATCCAATATACTGTCCAGCACTCAGCATGAATTCAAAGCAGCCTTCCAGATGCTTCCCTTCTCTGCAGACTTTTCCTTCCAGATCCTGCTCTATGTGTCTGTTTTCTAATGGTTGACTCCCTCTGGCAAACTTCTGCTCCTCTCCAGGGAGAAACAGCCTGTGTGAATCTGATTCTGTCTTTGCTCTTAGGATGTACATTTTTTTCTTCAAGATAAACCAACATACACAGTTCTGCTGGTTGAAAGTCGCTGGTGGCAACTTCATGTCTTGTTGTGAATAAGTGACTCATTGTGGCTGAGGGCTGGTCCAGTATTTACTGCTTGTTTACTTTCAGGGTTATCCCATCAGGTAGCAGACAGAGAATAAACAAGCTGAGCTTTTGTGGAATGGCGGTGCAAAATAGCATCTGAATTATAGACTTGGAGACCTGAGAAGCCCTAGCATAGCTACGTGTGCTAAATAAATATAGAAGGACCTTTCTGTCCTTCTGTCCCCATTCTCCTGGTCCTGCCATTGCAGCACTGAGCAGCACACTCTGTGCCACACGTATCCTTTGTGAACCGTGACTGAGTTGTTCCAATTTCTTACATCTCCCATTTTTGTCCCTCCCAAGCATCCCTCTTTCAGTTGTATCATAAGCAACATGAAAAACTCCACTCAGTCATTTGTTGTAACAGTAACATTAATTATCTTTTTAAGCAGCTGTCCACACAAATAGCTTTGTCATGAACGTGCATTGAAAGGGCAGCTGTTTTCCCTCTTGGCTTTGGCCAATGGGTGACAAGTGCTCTAGTACTTTCTTTTTCTCTCTTGGGTGACCACAGACCCTTGCAAATAAAGCAAGCCAAACTGGACATAGGGAGTGACAAAAATAATGTATCTGCTGGATAACATGATCCACATATGAAGTAGAACTGGTTTTACACCTTGCAAACATCCGGTACAATTAAGAAATGGAGTTATAGAAAGGTGGCTGCTGAATGAGGATGTCTGCATTGTTGTCTGAAGAAACCCATATCTCCCTATTGTCTGTAGTAGTGAGAAATCAGTGCCTGAAACAACCTAAATGTCTAAGCCCAGGCATCAAAAAATCCTCCCCTTCTTCTAAACATACTTTGGCTTCAACCTCCTTGTGAAGTGGCAGAAATTATGTTGTGACCTCCATGTACTGCTGAGCCTGGAACAGAGATCTTCATTGGCTCCCCTTCAACCAGTCAACGCCTTGGCTTTCTGAAGTGATCAGACAACAAGATTAAACACAACCACTGTTCTATTGGCTTTCTTTCCTTGTACACAACAGTAAGAGATTTAAATCCCATCCAAGCCAGCTCTCCACTCTGGAGCGTTCTTTATTGCCATCCTCATCTGCCAGTGTATTCATTTAACTGAAGCATTTGTGAGATCATCAGGCCTGTGTGTTTCAGCAAATATAGGAGTGTGGTTCCTGAAATGTGGCTGCCTGATGTTTCTTAATCAGATCAGAGATAACTAGTAAAACAAGTTTCAAACTCTTTGTTCTACCCTATCCCCTACAAAACTGGTTAAGGTGTCTTTAGGATATTAACTCACCTGCTCAGTGAAAATCTCAGCATACTGCAGAAGCAGAACAGCCCCTTTTCTGTGCAGTGAATATGGCTGGAGCACTCCAGTAAATCCTCCAGCCCAGCTAAAGGAGTGGTCTGTAGGCAGGCAAGTGGAACTGATATCATTTTGGTGGTTTACATCCCAGGAAGAGATCTGAGGTGGTACATGGCAAATGGTTGGTGTAAGCCAACATTTTTTGCCTATGTCTGAGCTTCCTAATAGAAGTTCTCATGTCTCTGTGAGTCCTTCTATACCTAGATAAAAATTGCAGGTAGTTGCAAGTTATCTCAGGCAAACATGACTGCACTTAATTTCTGTGCTACTTTATTTTATCAAGTCTCTTGGCAGATATTAACAGAACAACCCACCAATCCTCAAAACTGATATGTGGGATGAGCTGCATTTCATAATTTACACAGCTTGGAAAACAAAGACTGGGAGACAAAATGATTTACTTTAATGGTAAACAGAGAAAGACGGGTTTACAAATGTTCCCAAATTCCCACATTTTGCTTCCACTTTAAAACTTGGAAGTTGCAAACTGTGTTCTGTTAAGCACACCCTCTCCACAAGTGATAAACGGCATTGTGTCAAACCCCTCAAAATCCTTTTCCAGTGTTAGAAAAATAATTTCATTTAAGACATCCCACTCCACTGTTTCATGTTACAAGTCTGATTTTAAGTGCGTGTAGTTTTTCTTGAAAAAATGGCTGGTGATCCATGTTCTAGAAGGTTAGCAACCTGCAACTCAAGGCTACGTACTCCTCTAGTTTTTGAGTCCTGAGCGTTCCTGGAACCTTTGGAGTTCATCAGTCAGCAGCATTACACACTGATAATGACTCATCTTGCTATTGATCATGGTAACTATCTGGCATGCTGTTGCTGCAGGTCCAGCTGAGAGCTGAGGGCTTCTGGTTGGCTGCTATCTCCCAGATGTCTCTAGCATCTGCTCTAGAAAGATGTAATCATGCCATAAGAATTCAACACACTTTGTAATTCACAGAAGCACAGAATTTTAGGGGAAGGAAGGGGTTGGGAAGGACGCCTGGCATTTATCTAGTCCAACCCCTCTACTAAAGCAGGTTCCCTGGAGGTATTCAAATAAGAGTGAGAGTGGATGTGATCATCAAGCACATGGCAGCTTCATTTATACTACATTCCTGATCTCTTATTCCTGAGTTTACTCTAAAGATAGGTTAATTCTCATCAAATGATCCATTCCGACCTCATATTTTAAGAGCACTTGTGCTTTCACAGTTCAAATACTTTAAGAAGAAAAAAAATAAGAAAGAAAATAGAAAAAAATAGTTTGCATTTGTCTGAATTGTCTATAATGAATAGCAGTCCAGGTGGGAATCATTTACATCCATCTCTGTAACATAGCATAATTATTTGCTATAACAGTGGTTGCTGCTTTAAAAAATGAAGTCCATTGTGTTTCAAAATAATATCCGTGCTTACCTTTCAGTCTGTCTCATGGTCCTGGTGAAACCATCTGGTTCACAAGAAACAAGTAACTTAAAATGAAGAGCAGTGTAGGCTAATATTTTCATTAATTCATCCCCTCTGGAAAGAACTCCAAAGTTGAAGAAAATCTTCCTGTGTGGTATTGCTCTATTTTCAGACCTCATGAAGGCTGAAAGCCTTCTCTGTTCAGAACGCTTTCAATGCAGAAAGAAGCAAAACCAGTTGGTTTGACCAAACAGCTCAGTTGGTTAGTGCAGACTAAAAGCAAACACCAGGAGTCTGAATTATGGAGAGATTTTGTTGGTTTCTACTCAGTGGTTACCCTCATCCTGTTTTTAGACTGTGTTGACCTCTACACCAAGGAAGGTGGCCATAAACTATATCTTACTTCTTGCTTTTTACTGGAAACAGGCAAAAACAACACAAAGTGTTAAAATAGAGATCAAGAATATTTCTTAATGCATTCTCCTTCTCCCCTCTTTGCTTTACTAATTTAATCTCTAATAACAAGAACAGCTACAGTAACTGGGACATCACTGTATCACATAAAATCCTTGAGGTCTTACCATGTCAAGTATGAGAGAAAGAAAGAAAGGAGATATGTGAGAGATTTGTGGAAGGTGATCCATAACCTGCCTATAAAATCAAGAAAAGCTTAGGAGGAAAGAAATCCATGTGGAAGGATACACAGCATATGTATTTTCGATGAATCTGGTTTATAGAATCCCCATGTTGTGCTCTTAACTGTGAAATCAAACTGTCCTTCAGTTTTATGTTACATTTTTCATCAGTGCCTTCACAATGGTGATGAAGCCTTATTTTTGCCCTTATATTGCAGGGTGAATTGGCTTCAAAGCATATCCAAATCTCTGACCTCAGTAATTTAAACATTGGCACTAAGTCCTCAGTAACATACCTGTTTTTAACATCAATCTTAATTCTGCTGCTTCTGTAAATGATTGATACCCTGTAACTTCAGTGGGGATGGTGCTTGATGTGGGTATTCTCTTTGTCTCTTACAGCACCTGTATTTGCCAAAACTAGTGCTGTTATATACATAGAGAAAGCAAGCATGCATACACATTCACACAGACTGACTCGATGACAAACATTAGTTGATAGTATTTATTTCATCTTGCAAGATCATTTCTTTTTTTCTCCTTCAGCTTCCCAAGGCCTTTTAAAAAACAGGTTACCCGATGAATCTTCAGTGTCTCTTCTCACATGTAGCAGAAATATGCTAATTTAAGAGTGCTTGTTAATTTTAGCTGGAAATGTGGTGGTCCGATTCTAGTTTATGAGTAGAAGGATGTCCCAAAAATAAATGAGGAGCAACTCCCAAGATGTTAGAAAAGCTACTTTAGGATTAAAAAAAATCAGAGCAGACAGAAAAAAATTCTTTGTATCTTGATATATTATGAGGAAATGGCATTTTAAATCCATTACTTCTCTCTCTCTCTCTCACCCCCTCCCCCTGCTTTTAAGGCACAAAGCTGCTTACAGAAGAAAAGCAAACGGCGATTATGGAAGATGAAGAAAAGGATGGAGACACAGTCCCCAGTTAAGATTACAGTGATATTTTCAGTATTGCAGTGTAAATAATTCTGGGTCATTCAAAGTGGCAGCACATAGGAAAAGAAGTCCTTTCATTTTTATAAATAATTTTTTCAAGCATGCACTTGAATTTAATTTATCTTCAAGTGCTTCTCTGCATCTCATGAAATCCCAGCAAGCATTACAGGAGATGACAGAAAATTCACCTACACGTGGGGCTGGAAGGATTCTCTTGGTTAACTAAAGCAGCTTCCCAGGATTTCTGTCTTCAAGGGATCCACCTGAGACCATATCTAGTACCTTGTAGTGCAGTGGTAAGAGTTGACACAAAGGGCCCACCAACCCAGGGAAGCTGGCACTAGATAACAGGGTGTCAGTAAATGCACGATACCACTAGATATCACAGGATAGTCAAATATCAACTAATGATTCAAATTGCATTTTTCTTCTGACATCTCACCTCATTCATCTAGCTTGCCTTCATTGGAATAATGCTGAGCACAGTAAATATTTCCACACGCAGGACTGATGTGATCCATGTTCCTGAAGTGCAAAGCAAACACGTCTTGGGCCTGTATCTGTTCATGACTGGTGTTTGAGAGAGAAAAGGGCAGATTTATTGTCGTAGAAAAGCTTACAGCTATGGGCTGTTGGCACTGGCACATCAAACAGAACTGACGACAGAGCTCTCAGAAGAGAAACTTTTGGGAAGAGCAACATTTGCCTATTACAGTGGTGTAGAATGGTGATTTCTTTTTTTTCTCAAAGGTTTCATTCCTGGATTGCTGAAAGCCAAATTAGTTGAAAAGCTGATCCTTTTACTCATCTTTATATATATATATATCTGTATGAGGTTTTTCAGCTCAGTCCTAGGAGGGGCTGTTAAGGATTAAAAATCACAACAAGATATTGCAGACTAAGCAAAAGAATAGCATTACTCTACGTCATATGCATAATGCAAGATGAAACAGCATCATACTTCTTAAAAATAATGTAATTAAATGATGAAACCAATAAATGTGTTCACGGCCAGCTACACACTTCAACATTTGTACAGAGATGGTACTTGTAGAATATTATACAAAATATGTAGGGCTGGATAGCTTTGTGCTTATCTTAATAGCTCTGTGTGCTAGATGGAGCAGCAACACCAGTGGACCCTTAGGGACCTCAGCACACAAATTAGAGCTTACCTAGGCTGGCAGACTGCATCCAGTTATCTGTTTAACACCCATAGGCAGGCAGCTGAGGAGCACACTAGTCTGGACTTCATTTGCCACAGTGACTGACCCAGCATCTTTCATCCCATTCACAGATGTTCAGCTTCAAGATGTAACCAACAAGCTTATAATAAAATATGGTATATTAAAGCATACTAGAGATCAGCTGTATTATTAATGGGATGTCTGATTCCTAGAAGGCGTAATTTTTAATCATATTAATCTATCAGCAAGCTAAGACAATATTTAAAATACGATCAATCAATGTTTTATTTGATAATGTTCACATAAGGTACACAGTAAAGTATGTCACTGCAAGAACGTGGTAAGAATAGAAGTACAATCAGCATGTCACATCTATGAGCCAATGCACTGCTGGTTTTTAATTTTTGGAACTGTAAGTTAAACTCAGTACAACTTCAGTGAGGCACTGATGTGGCCCAAGCTTTATGCTGTGTCTCCCTGCCAGCACAGTTTCATTGGATCCCACCCAAGCAGCTCAAGCAAAGTTTTATTATTAAATTCAGGAATACTTAGAAGATGAAAAATGTGAACAAAGCTGCTTTGAGGCCAGCTCAGGAGCATGGTGGGATTTAGGGGTTAGGAATTGAGATGATGAATAAAGGACATGGCCTCCTCCCGGCACAAAATGCAGGAATAATAAGAGACCTTGTGTTGCCCCTGTGAAAGAAGGTCCATGGCATGAGAGACTCCCTGTACCATTCCTGAGCTCCAAGGCACTGCGACAACAAATTGCCTTTATGAAACGGTACGGTTTCTAAAGTAGAATGAAAAATTCTTTGGTAAAAAATAAATGCCAGGCTTGAGTGAGACAAAGCAGATATTCATGTATTTGCACATAACAGTTCACACCAGCTAAGAACCTGAATGAGCTGGAGGAAAAACACAAAACAAAACAAAACAAAACCCAGCCTCTTTGCAGTTGTCGACAAAAACCTTGAGAATTTTTTCACTCCTGGGAAGTTTAATGCAATTTCAGAGAGCCATAAAAATACCAAGCCTTGCTTTACCCATCCTTGGAGTTCAAGTCCATTGTTGTTCAAAACCAAACAAAACGAACAAACACGGTTTTTCAATCTCTCCCAGCAAAACTTATTCGTGTTTGGATTACACTGATGTCAACTGAGCTGTAATTATCAACAGTGTAATTGTAGCTGAGCTACTGAATCCCAACTGAGCTTCTGCACCACTAAAGCAGCTTTTGTCTCCACGTAGAGGCTCCTGCAAAATGTGAAAGAAAATACATGCAGTACTGACCAAACTCCTGTTTGACGAGAAAAATACACACATGAGATGTAAGCACAGACAGTGGCCATCCCGTAAGCACTCTCCCAAAACAGCATCAACACAAGCAGTGATCGTGGTAGGCCTTTTCAAGACTTTAACAACATGCTGCTGCTGCAGACCAAAGTCGTCCTCTGAAATGAAGATACCTGTGCATGGCCATGGTGCTCTTGCAGGTCTCAGGAGATGCTCGTGTTGTTTCTTCCAGCCAGCAGCTCCTCATAGCTTTGCCAAGCTCAGTGCTCGACCCTTGAGGCAGCGGGGTTTGCTGCTCTCTTTTTAAACACAGAATGGAAAGAGCAGCGCAGTAGCCTGAGAATGTTACATCCTGGCAGCCCCAGGACTGTGGAGAAACTGGAGGTATCTTGAGGACCATGAAGGCTCTGATGTGTCCCCAAGGCATTTTATCACCTTGTTAACACGAGAATCTTGGCTCAGCTTGGATTCAAATGAAATTTGCAGTGTGATTTGAGTCCAGTTTTACAGGTGTTGCCAGTAACTACTCACAAAATATAGCAAGAGTGAGGGTGTGGAGTCCTGAAGAGATTCAAATGAACATCATCAGTGCCACAAAAAATGCATTTAGATGTGAAAGCCCTTAAGAATACAAGGCAGGGGCACAAATAGGACGTGACCTCATTGCTCTGAAGAGGATTAGTTTCAAAAGCTGGGGAAAGTTAACACAGCTTAATATGAAAAAAAGAATAACACACTTTAAGCCTACCAAAGCACTGTGTGTTCTTTGCTAAAGAGGAGCTATGGTCCCACTGACATCTGTGATGGCACAGCTGCCTGATTTACCATCCCTGTATAGATCAACTTGAAGCTCAGACATAAAAACGTTGCAATATACATCATTCACTGAAGCTCATTTAAAATTGCGTGTTTATAGTCTGGTAATTTGGCCTTTACTATTTCTTACCCAAGAACTACGTGAGCAACTACAACGTAATTTTTCATTTGGCCAATTCACTGAATAGGAGGCTTTGTAGTGTTTCTGGGAAGCAGTGCGATGGATCAGTTCTCAAAGTTTTCATCTGCCTCATCGTATTCAGTGACAGTGTTAACCTATGGGTGTCAAACCTGTTTGTCTAGCCTGGGCCACACAGTGTAGAGGAATTGTCTTGGGCTGCATATAAAATACAAATATTTTATACGTAAATATAAAAATTGTTTATTTTGTTTTGTGGTTTTGACTTCTTCATTATTTGGTATTGTTATTTTAAATTCTTGATTGTCCAGTCTTGAACAAAAAGTCCAAGTGAAGCATCTGGGCTGGATCTTCCTGCTGAAGTTCAGCCCTTCTTCAAGTCTAAACTGAAGACTGCTTCTCCACAGGAACAGCTGCCTCCGTAGCTTCTCTGACCCCTCCTCTCCCCCTGGGGAGGGATGAGGGAGTGGGACGGGATGGATGGGCTCATGGAAGCCTCAGCTGTGAAAAGATGAGTTACCAGGAAATGGAGGCTCCATGTGAGCCCACAGAGTGGCCCTGAGTTGAGGCCCTCCCTCCCAGCTAACGGTAAACTTACTTGTGATTCTGTGATGGTGAAGGCCCCCAGTATTTATGGTCCTTCTGCTGGACTCGTTCTGCTGCCTCCTCACAGCAGCTCAGAGGATGGCAGTCCCTGCCCTGCTCTCTTCCTCAGGATTCAGTGAAGAAGAGCTGAGAGGACTTGGGAAGGGACAATGGAGGGGGATGGGAAGGACGGACTCGTAGGAGTCTTGGCTGCGAAAAGAAGAACGACCAGGAAATGGAGGCTCTGTGTGAGCCCACAGGGTGCCCCTGAGCTGGGGCTCTCCTGGATGAGGGCAAACTTACGGGGTGGGAGCATCAGCGCCGGCGTCGAGGCAGCCGTTCGGATGGAGGTGGACGGATCCTGGTGCCCCAGCGATGCCTGGGGCGCGATCTCTTTCTGATCGGCCTGGCAGTGGTGCCGTGCTGGCTGGTGTGCAGCAGCGGAGGTGGATCCACCTCCATCATGTCATCCTCCGGAGGCAGATCCACCTCCATTGGCTCTGTGTCACTGCCAGGCGGGTCCACCTCCATGGGCTCGATGTCGTTGCCCATCGGCCGCCTCTTCTTGAAGGGCGGTTGCTCCATCTCAGATAGGAGAAACTTTCTGACGTGCAGGCGTCACTCGCTCTCTCCTCTCAGGGGTTCTGAGTGTCCCATGGAAACCAAAACATGGCAGTTGGGAGATGGTTGCAAGAATGTACCAAGAGAGTTGGGGGGTGGGAGGGAGGGGCAGTGCTGGGGGTTCTCAACCACCCTGCAGCTGCCTGGAACGTACCAAGAGGGTCAGGGCAGGGGATTCTTGAGCACCCTGAAGCTGCCTTCAGGGATGGAGTTGTCCTGGTACCAGGCAGTAGTGGAGAGGGGACAAAGCATACTGACATCTCACAGGCAACCAAGGGAGATGCAGTCATTAAAAACCATTGAGTTTCAAGGGTTGTACCAGCTGTCCTTTCCCATCCCTCACCAATGCCTCTGACAGTGAGAAGGTGGCATCTCTTCTAACGTGATCCCAAAGGAGAGAGATAGGGAGAAGAGGGCCCACTGTGCTCTGGGCAGTCACATTGGGACTACAGGCGAGTGCACTGGAAGGGCAGTGAGGTCCTTGCGACCTTCCACCCCAAGGAAAAGAAGAGCAATTAGGATTTGCTGTCCTCAGCCTGTTCTCTCCTTGTTTAAGGTGAAGTCAGGCCCTCCATGGCAGCACAAAGTACAGCTGGGTATCAGTCACGGCTTTAGATAAGCAGCTTGGATCTCTGCAATCTCTGGAATAGGGGTATTGAAAAGAGAGCTTTGGGGCAGGGATACTGTGTGTCAGTGGCTGTTCCCTATCAGTTGACCCTAGTGTACCTCAAACAGCATGTGTTCAGACCCTACCATCAGGTGAAGAGGAAAGGGCAGTGTTTGCTTCCTGTGCAGTGAGTAAATTAACTAGTAAGCTGCCCAGTAGGCTGACACTCTCAGTCCCCTCTCAGCTCATTCGTAGCTTTTTTGCCTTTGGCTCATGATTTTTTTGTGAAGGCCTCCGGTGCAGATGGCACATTTAGAGGACTGATTGTTGGTGCTGTGTGTTTGATTCAGTCCAACTCGGTTGAGGCTGGATAACCTGGGGAGGACACAGACCTCCCTTCCATTGAACCAGACATTGGTGCATTAGTTTCTTAAAAACAAGTCAAATATCCCACTAGTTTTATGATTTTGTTTCTCTCTGCTTTTGTTTTAATAAGAAAACACAAAAAAATGAGTTTTATGATTTACACATGACTTGGACGTTAACTACATTGCGTATTTTATGTGCACACCAAGACAATTTCTCTTCACTCATTGTGGCCCCACGCGGACTACATGGAAGAAGACAGTGAGAGATCAGCCTGAAGAACTCATGCTGATCAGTCAGCTGAGGAGCAGGAGTGAACAAAAAGCCACAAGTAGGGAGAAGGAAGTGGGGACATGTCCTGTCCAGAACCAAATTTGCCTTGTGAACCCATCTGTTTCATCACCTAAAAAGACCTATGAATGACTCATTCATGATGCTGAGACAAAGCCCCTTGTTCCTCCTCCTCCCCTTTCTCCTTCAGTCTCTGTTTTTGCTGCTCTGATTGCCCTTAAGGACATGGGAGCCAATCTTCTTTCCTATTCTTTACTCTTTTAGATACAGACCTACATAAAACATACGGAATGACGGAGGCCTCCCTGTGCCTCACTCAGCATTGATCTGAACATTTAGGTTTTCAATTCAGACTTTCTTTTCTAAAACAAATGAACAAACAAAAAGAAAACAACGACGACAAAAACTCCCTCTCAAAAACCAGCACCA